TTGCAAAGTAACATGTAAATTTTAGACTTGGAAAAAGAAAAATCTTGCATTTTCAGCTGTTCAAAGCAAAATACCGTTTTAACTTGCTGTAAAAAAAAAAAAAAAAGATTTAAAAAAAATAATTCAATGAAAAAAGCACATACAAATTACATATTTAGAAAGATTATTTTCTTTTCTTTCCAGCCATATGAATATTTTTAAGATTGGACCAGAGATACCACAAGATCTTGCTAGTTGAACAGACTAGGTCGCAAATTTATCAATCTCAAATGAAATCAGATATCAACTGGAAATCTATCATTACACAAGAAAATGAATGGCTTCCTTAGAAAGTAAAAATACTAAATTAAAATGTAAAACCAAATCAAAGCCACAGTATCAAGGGGAAAAAACTGAGACATAAATTGCCAAACCGACCAACTCTAATATATATATATATATATATATATATATATTAAAGTGTGTGTGCATAGTTTTGCGTATTTAGAGTTCAGATGTAATTGAGTGGGGGATTAATTATAGATTCTGGTGTTTGGGTGTGAGAGGGGGAGAGCCATACCAGACTTAGCTTTGTGCGGCACAAAGCCACTAGTGTGGAGTGTTTCACCCAGTTTTAGCTGAAATACAACTATAATAATGGCCTAACTCTAACTATTACTCTGGTGTCAATGGTGGGTGGGGTCATCATAGGGCCATGTGAATTAATTCATTTTGCACACACACTTATATTTTTTGTTTTTATTCATATGTAGCTGGTTCAGATTTTAGTGAACCTTTTCATTCCTAAGATTATCTTAGCTTGGCTTTTTTGCCAGTATAAATTTTTTTTTTTTTTTTTTTTTTTTTTTCAATCAGTTTTGCAATACTGATATTTTGTAGATAGTAATTATTTTTCAGAGTCGTTTTTGTTTTACTGAAGCTCCAACTAACCATATTTATATCAATAGGCCAAAGAGTTTTTGTCCTTCCTCTTAAAAATATCCAGACCTAATTGGTAGGGGAGGGTTGCATGATTATCTTGATGTACCAAAATCATTACTTTTCAACTTCTGAATTCTCTAAACATTACTGAATTGTTATGTTAAAGGGTTAATCTGTGGAAGGGACCACTAAGACACACATTAAAGACACCCTATTTATTTGAGTGTCAAGACAATTACTAGGCTTAACATATTTCAGAAAGCAATTGTATCTTGTAGAAGCACTTAAATAAAAGCCCCCAAAAAGGTTATAATTGGTGTGTCATTTCCCCCCTTGTCTCCAATTCTCTGCTTCGTGTCATTCAACTTGCACTTTGACCTCTGCCTCTTACACCAATGTGAACTACCAGCCTCCTTGGGGTGGGTACTAACAATAGTTCCAAGTAGCTGGCACTGCCTGCCATCTCTGTTGCAATGACTCACTTGGACTCATGGCCAATGGCTACAAACAAAACTGCCTCTATATATCAACCTCCTTTTTCCTTTTTTTTTTTTATTTTTTGTTATTCTACTTTTCCTTACATAATAGGGTTTTATCTAAATCTTTTACTGTTTTACATGTAAGTAGGATGGATAATAATTTGAATTTTGATGCAATGATCCCTTCACACAGTTTTTGTTAACCAAATATAACATGGTGAAGATTTCACCGGGCCAATTTTGATTCATTGTGTGTGTGTGTGTGTGTGTGTGTGTAGTCAATGTTTATGAAGGCATGTTGAAATGTTATTGGCCTGATCCACTCTCACAAAATTTCTTTTTCTAATCCTTTGATTAGACAAAGAACTTTTCAACCTAACCACTCATAGTTGCTAATTATTCCCTTCATAATCAATAAGTATTTCTTAAATGATAAATGGAGCCATCCACTTAGTAAACCAGCAAATATCAAAAAAGAAGACATGTGAGAAATGTACCAGTTATGTCTTACCAGTACCAGGTTCTCTTACTAATCTGTAGAAATCTTTGGTTCTTTCCTTACAGTCTCAAAACACAAATTGGAACTTCAGTTCTGCCACTTTTAATCACTTAATAACAAATTATAAACCACTATAACTACAGTGAAACCCTATTCTGTAACACGTTACATGGAATATCATGAGAACAAAATGTTTCATTTGTTTTAGGAAGACCCATCCCCGGTCACACACACACACACACACACACACACACACACACACAATTAGACTGCTTGGAAATTGGTGGTGCATCTTATTTTCTACCTCCTCCTAGATCCTGTGCATTGAGAATGATTTTCTTTTTCATTAATTGAATTTGGAAAAAAAAAAGGATTTGAAACATTAAATGTTATGAAAACAGACTTCAATAATTTAATAATGAAAGAAACATTCACGATGCTTGTGTTTAGTCTCATTAATTTCCTTGGGTCTTGCACAAACTAAGAATCATTTTAGACCAACTTTTTTTCCTGGTCTGCTTTTGCTATTGTGTGTAATTAATTCGTTATAGACTTTAAGAAGTACATATTTTTACTGACAGATGCATTTCCTGCTGTCAACTTTTAAGATTTGGGAATTACTGGGAGGGCTAACACCAAATTTCTCTTCATATTCATTCTTAGGATTTTTTTTTTTTTTTTTCTTTCTTTCTTTATCTATTTGAATTTGTGAACGTCATTTGTTTAGGTACAACTCTATTAGCATGTGAGCAGAAAATTAGTGATTTTTGGATGGGGGAAGTGAGGTGAGGCATTATTTTTCTACATAATGAAACTTTTTTGTGGGAGGTAGGGGTCTCTGGGAAATTAACTTTTTTTTTTCCTTTCTAAAATACTTAATGTTGTTTTAAGAACCTGTCAGAAGTGCCTGCGGTTAAAGTGCGCATTTAATGCTTCAAATATAATGAATAATAATAATACTTTAGACAGATGGTAATAATTTCTTTCAGCTAATTCTTAACTATTTCCCCTGTCACCATGAAAATGTGTATTAAAACTCGTGGCAACAGTAATATTTCTTTTCTTTTTTTTTTTTCTCCTCTTGCTACTGCCACTGCAATTCAAATCCCAGAAGACTATTTTGTTTCTAGCCCATGACCAATTCTGTTAAATTATGACATTTTATGACACTCTATTAGGGAATGATTAAAAGCTTACTATATGGGAGGGGGCTTCTTTTTAAATATCTCATGCTCCTAATATTGAGCAATAGGGAGATTATGAAACTTACATATTTGATGAGGTCTCTATCGATAACCAGTTAAAATCAACCAGCAGAAAGTAGAATTTAATTTTAAAATTGTTATCCAATTTGTATTTGATAATTTCAATGAGTTTATTGTATTTAGGAAAAGACCTTTGCATAATAAAGATTAAATCTGTTTGTGTCAAGCTACATGAATAGAAAGGCTTGTTTTTAATGTTTTGCATTTTATCCTCTGTTTCTTTACTTTTCTATCCACGGCTACATTATATAAATGTCTTTAGGTTACAGACTAAAAATAAATAATAATAATATATCCCAATTGTTAAATGTTTCAGAGTAATATTCAGTATATCCAAATTTAATTTTCCTCGCCCACTTTCATAAATTGTTTATAATTTTGAAAAGTTATTAACATTGTAAAATTTGGACAATTTGTTATTCTTTCTGGCTTCTACAATTGAAGAATGCTGTATAATGAATTGACTGAAATCTTGTAACATCAGAATCATGATTTGAATTTTTGGCATAATACAATGCAAACTTGAATACAATGTCCTCCCCCTCACCTCTCCCCCAAATGAGTTGTTTCTTTAATGGTCAGTTTCAACTTTTAAATTAATATTAACTTGGTGTGTCAAGAAAGTTTCCTTTTTGACAACAACCTGTTCTGTAACTAACTTGGATTAAATAAGGAATATTAGAAGAAACTGAAATTTTGCAGTCTCTTCTAATATCAAAAGTATTGCAAAGTATTTGCAGGGGCAATATATGCTGAAGTATTACTGTCTGCTTGTGTGACTCATATAGATGTTAGTGTGCTAAATGGATGCTAAAAATTTGACTTACTACTATTTGAGGGTTTGAGTAAATTTTAAGATTTCCTAAAAACTACTTGAATAATCTCAATTTTGTATCCCACTACTTCCTTAAAATTAGTGGAAACACAATGACATCAGTTAAAGGAAAAAATTAAATTACCAATGATAACCGTTATCAGTAAGGCATTAGTTTGGTCATTAAATATTGCACATGGATTCACACTTTTGATGTGCAGTTAAGAATGCTTGCCATTCCACTCCATCCCCCACTTAAGTTACTGCCATATGTTTTCTCATAGGAAATGCTTTTACTATTAATCTGCTTGGCTCATTAAATTCTCCAGTCAAAAGAAAATAGAGGAAGGGGCTTAAATTTCATTCCTAAAATCTTAAATTATTTTAAAATGGGGTGGAAATAGTAAAACAAAAGAGAATGTAGAAAGTGAATAATTCCTGAAAATATACAAAAGGAGTTGAATTTGCTTCTGAATATTCTATGTTGCTTCGTGTTAGTTTTGTTGAAAATTCTTTGTTACTTTTCCCATTTCAAAATTGCACACAAGTTAAGAATTCATCTTGTTAATCAAATCCAGATTATTACTTTTTGTTATTTTAGCACTGAAGACATGACTCTTCAACAGATGTCTTTTCTCTCTCTGCATTCTCAAGAGCGGTAAAAGTTTTCTCTCTCCTTCAGAGATCATATCTTATGGTATTCAATTTAGGTAATCAGTTTCATAAAATCACTAACTTATTACAATATTTTTTTTCTTTGGAAATTCAGATCAATCTGAAACTTTACAAACGGGAATTTTATTCTGAATTGAATTCTGTTAATGTAACTGCATACATTCTTCCTAAAGTCTGTAGTCAAGTCTGGCAAATTGTTAATGTTGTTGCTCTAATTATCTATATCTATGCCCCCTCCCCTATACACGTACTCTTCACCTTGGAGATTTACTTCCAGGGCAACAAAGTAAATATTGCATTGAATATCTGTAAAAAAAAAATTAATCAAAAATATATTTTTCTTGCAGAACCAGAGGCACGTCTGAAAGATGAGTTCCTACCAAATGACAGGGACCACTACCACTAGGACAGGTGAGGCTTTTGAGTTGTTTTTTATTCTTAGTTGACTATTTTTATTAAATTGTACTTATTGAATTTAAATGGCTTTTGAAATAAGCATTTAGCAGTTATTGTTTTGCCTAGCATTTTTTATATTTGGGTGGGGCTATACAAAACAGCTTTTAGTTTTTGTCCTCTTTGTTGTTAAATGTGGGGTGAAATGTCAAGCAGGAGGTTTATTGCAGTTTCACAAACCTGGTATTTACTCTTAAAAACATTTCAACTAGTTTAGTCATCAGGTAGTATTACTACCTTCTTGCCTAGGTTCGTGCCTGATATTAGCACGTTACTAGGACCCCCCCCCTCCAAAAGTGTCTCTCTTAATTGGTTACAGTCACGGAAATAACCTGGTAGTTTCTGAATTTTTTTTTTTTTTTTTTTTTTTTTTTTTTAATATTATAGGGGGCTTTTTCTGGCAGTAGTGACATGCTGTACGTGACATTTACTTGTAGAATTTGTTAGTTTCTTTTCATATTGTCCAGTTCCAGAAAAGTGAATAAAGAAAATGGGAATTGCCAATATTGATCTTCTGTTGAAGAATATGAAAGACTTTTTGCCTTAAAAGGAACTTTTAGATGGGTTTTATTTAAAAAAAACTAATGACAAGAGTTAATTATCAAAGCCTGACACATTCAGAGGAACAAGGCAACTTAATTTACAATATGCTACTCTTTTGAAAACTACAGACTTTAACAGAATTTTATGGGGATACTGAAAACTTCTTGGCAAAGCTACAAAATGTATATGCTGTTCAACAGAGTATATAATTTCTCAAGTTTGTCCCATTCATCCCCACTCAACATCCCCCACCCAACTCGTGTGTGTGTGTGTAGAGAACTTTTAAGCATGTCATATTGGTGAGGGACTTTGAAAATAATCTCTTATTTTGTGTGACAAAGCTATCTGGCAAAATGGCATCTGTCATAAAAGGTCATACTTTTATGACCGATGATGACAGAAGGGAGTTGTTGAATTCCCTCGTGTGAGGAAGAGATTGCATCCATTGACACTTTCAAACAGTGGCTGATTGTTTAAGGAGACCAAAGAATATTCCATTATGAACAGTCAACCTATGAAATGGAGAGATCTTGTTCATTGCTGGTGAAAGTGCATAGCCAATGGGGGTAGGTGTATGCTCCATCCAGCAGTCATGTTGTTCACCTTGGGATCTGTTTTGGAGTTGCCATCTTATAATGCTGGAAATTTCTGTACACCTCATGTTGTTGATGAAACTCACTTCTACTAAATACTTAAATGTTCGCTCTCTCTCTCTCTCTCTTCTTTTTCCTCTACCTGTCTTTTTTAAGATTTGTCTATTCTTTTATTTAGGAAATAAACTGGCATTTTTGGTAAGAAGACTTTCATTAAAATAGTTTTATATATTTTTCCTCTTTATTCTCAACTCCTCCTCAGTGGTTTTATTCAGTTGTTTTCTGGTGGTAGTCTTATTTTCTTTTCTCTCTTATATATATATATATATATATATATATATATATATATAAATCTGGCACAAACCTTACCAAAATTGTCTTTGTGTGTGTTTTTTTTTTTTTTTTCTTCTCTCCTTTGCTTTAAACTGGCTCAAAGAAGTGTTATTTGGCATTTTGGTGGTAGGTGTGAAAGCTTTTGGAGATCTTTGTATTGAAGTCTATTTTGAAACTTTACTGCAAAAAAGGGAAGGCTGGCCATGTCCAGGCATGTTTCTCTCTTACCTACACTCACACATATGTTCCTTATTTGTAATATTGTTAAGGATTTATCATTTTCTCATCTTTACCCTCATCCACTCAAATAACATGTCAACATTTAGATACTTTGACCTTCAAAATGCCTGGTATTGAACATTTTTTTGAGTGGCCTGTTTGGAGGATTGCAATTTTTTTTAATAGAGAAATAAGTTTCAGTAAAAGTAGAACCCTAAATTAATTGGTAAAGATTAAAAAAAAAATAGCCCAGTCTCACATAGTATTTTAATAAAATGTATCAGATTTCTATATTGTGAGAATAATACTAGAAATACTAAAGACAACAGCCAGCCCTGTGATTGAAATATGGAATCACCTTTGATGAGTGGCTTGATCTGTTTTTGGTTTGGGGGAGGGGGCACACCACACCACTCCTCTTTTAAGCAATATATCTCAGAAATAAGGAATAAGTTACCATTAAGATTTGAACTTGTATGCCTCATGGTTGGGAGCATGTCAGGCCAAGACAGAGCTTTTGATTAGATTATGGGTGCCTAAAAACGAGGGTCATTCAAATTGTTCTTTATTCACATTTACTTCTTGGGGAAAATTTGAAACAATTCATTAGGATATTATGGTTTGGTTTCATGTTTATCCTGTCCGCAGCTCTGTCATTTATCCTGTCTGCAGCTCTATATTTACCTTTTCTTTTAGACCCACAATAATGAGGTATCAAAACACATATTTAGTATTTCAAAATTAGCCTGTTATCTGGCACCTCTGTATCAAGCAATTGATTATTAGGTATGGCCTAGCAAAAAAATTGAATATTAATAAAATCAACTCATTGATCCCTAAAATCTGTATAATTTATCTTGTTTGTATCATCTTTGAAATGATTCATCACTTCACTTTACTTTTGAAATAAGTCAGTGGCAGTCAAAATTGGAAAAGTTTATTCACTTTTATTTCCATGCAGAAACTGATGGCTCAATCCCATAGACCTTTTAGTATCTCGCTGCAACTTATAACATTACTTGTATAATAGCATAAAATTTAAAACTATTATTCTGAAACTTTTTTTTTTATAAGTGTTTCATAAAAAGTTAGAAATATTTGTCTTCTGGCTTAAATGCTTCTTTGTTAAATGTTCTTTTCTCCTCACCTCCATTCTCTTGATGGGTTAAATATATTATTATTATTTAAATAAGACCTAATGATGATTTTTGTTGTTGCCTCTTTGGCCTGTTTACTTAGGTCAAGTTTTGTAAAATGACAAAATACTTCAGATAAAACATTGGTTAGTGAGTTTTGGCAGTATAGTAAATGTGAATTCAGTCTTCTGGCCTATTAATGTGCCTTTACTCAGTGGAAACAGGATGAGTAATAATTGAATAGAAGACCTTCTCAGACCAGCAGAATAAGAATACGCTCCTTTTGAAGATAGAATAAAGGGTTCAGTTTGAAATTCTCTGAAGTTTACCCAGATCAACACATACTGGGGAGCACAATAGCCAAAACATTGCAAAAATGGCAAGATATTAAGATTTCGTAAAGAGAAAATCTAATAATTATTTAAAAAAAAAAAAAAAAAAAATGTCCAGGCTACACTTATTGATATACCTAATAATAATATAGAAAAGGTAGGGGCATTTTTGTACAATAAATATTTATAACATAATCTCCTTCCTTGTCAATGAACTTTTAATTGAATGTCAGTGAATATTAATCCCATAAATTTCATGTTATACTGTGAACATTTTCAAATGAACATTCAACTTGACCCTAATAAAGAATGAATAGTAAGAAAAGGTGATAAGCTCATAGTATGTATTTGAATTGGGTGGGATATTCTGAAACTATTTCTGCAGTCATACAGGGTTGGGTACCATGATATTTAGATTGATTGTAACTAAAATATACATCTTAATATCATTAAATATTCTTATATAAGAAGTTTGAAAATGAATTTTTTTTTTTTTTTTTAACCATGGATGAATCAAGCCAGCCTAAGCTTTCTGCTTCTCAATCCAGAACACAGGCACATTAAAATAAATATGGTATTTATTTAAAGTTCAAATTGCATATAAATGCTTTTAATTAACCTTTGTTTTTGTTTTCCCTTCAGTGAGCCATAGTGGTAGTGGCAATAGCTACATGGACTTGTCCAACATGCCTATGGAAAATAAACAGCAGCAGACCATGATGTGGCAACAGAACCAGTACCTGACTGATTCTGGTATTCACTCAGGCGCCACCACACAGGTCAGTTAATGTCCCTCTTATTATTTTCTTTCATACAGAGCAGGTTAGTCTTTCGAGTTGCAGGTTTCATTTTGTGGGTGGAGTCCAATAACTTTAAAAGTATTACCCGCACTATGTCCATTTACATGAATGGAGCTTTTGAAAAAGTGCCAAATACCCATTTACATAAGCAGGAATTCTTTACATGAATAAATAATTTTTCTTTTACACTTCTTTACAAAAGTTTCATGAGAAGAAATTAGCAAATATGCCAAGTCATGCAGCTTGGGAAACAACTGAAAGTGGAAGTGATGCCTATGTGTGCGTGTGAGAGAGATTTTGCACAAAACGGTGTAGTAAAGAAAGTGAAATTAATAACAAAATTACATACAGGATATAGCGACCTTTCTACAATTGTGTGGGCTTCAATTGTTTTATATTTGGAGTTAGCTGAGGTTACCCAGATACAAGAAAGATTGACTGGAAGAAGCTCCTACTAAGTGAGCATTTATGACCTAAACGGGGGGGGGGGTTAATGGACTAGGTGAATATAGATGCTAATAAAATCAGGAGCATAACTAGATTGACTGGAGAATAGTTAGAAATGATTTCTCTGAACACCTTTTCAAGGGGGATGCAGCAGTTGAAACCCTATCTAGAAGATGTTTGGTAGCCAGAGCCTGGGATGTTGACATTGAACAGAGGCCAAGATTTTGCAGAAGTGATCATAAGAAAATCTAGTGTAATAAAAAACAATTCTTGAATTAGATATCAAGAGTATATGGAAGTATAGACACTCAAGTGGTAAGTGTGTGTGTGTGTGTGTGTGTGTTTTTTAGGTGTCTCGTCAGTGCATGGTTAAGGACTGTAAAGAGCCTTAGCCTGATTTGATTTGCTACTGATGTCACCTGAGCAGGGCATATATAGCTTGTTATTGTGGCCAGGGAAGTGATCAGGGTTGGGAGTCTGTTATTGTGCCAACAGTTACCCTTTCAGCAAAGTAAAGGTGCCTCAAACATTAATTGCCAACAGTGAAAGTTCTGGTAGAGAGGGGGGGTATTTTGAAGCTGCTTGAATGGCAGTTGTAAGTCAAGCCATCAGTGGAAGAGATTTTGAGTGGGTAGTGGTGTCAAATTTTGCAGAAGAGTTTAATGATGGGATGTGTGGGATGGCACTCGAGTAAAGTGTGCTTCGAAAAAATGTCGATCTCATCTATTGGTTATGGGTGGTCACAGTTAGTAGAGGAGGTGTTACTGTCAAGTAACAAGTGTAATGTGCTGTGAATTTATTGAAGCCATTTTTTGAGGTTGCAGGAATAGTTCTTGTAGGTCTGATGGCAAAGATTTCCATGCAGAGTTTGGTGTTACACAATGGACAGTTAAATGATTTTGGAAAAGAGAGAGCCTCTTAGAGAACAAGATGAGCATTCAGGAGATTGTAGGGTTGATATTGAAAATATTTTTATGCCCTGGAGAGACTTGGTGAAAAGTGCTGCATTGCTGCTGCTGATGGTGATTGTGGTGGTTCAGTCATGGGGAGGGTTCTACCACTCTGTAGGTGTTACAGATGTCTGCAGTGGGGGTTTTGCGAGAGTCTAGGTAAATGTGGGAGGGGGCTTGATATCAACCTACCTACAACTTTGTGGTTGAGACACTGGAAACCCTAACTGTTGAATTACAAGAGCAGAACAGATTGAAATGTACAACCAGAATAACTTTTTAAGAAAACTATATTGTTGGATGAAACCGCTGACAACAGTTAATGTAGTAGATAGTTTAAAGATATTAGAATTGCATACAAAAATACTAGAAACATTGGAAGGAGCAACAGTTTTTGGACTTGTATTGAAGAAAAAGCTAACACATAAAAAGAAATAAAAATGTATTAGCAACCTGATCTCCCTTACTTAGTAAAAAATAAAAAATGTTCTATTGTGGTAACAAGTCAAAGATTTTGTCGCAGCATTGACATGACATTTGGATCGATATACTGAAGATTTAAATATTTGATAATGGATTATTGCTATTGTAATCTGTAAACTTTAGCAATTCAGTTAACATTCTAGATTCCTGTTAACATAGGTTTTAAAAAGGAAAAAAAGAAATTAATATTTTTAAATATGTCCTTTAATCTTGTTAGAACTTGTGATCACTTTTTTCTCAACTTTTTCTTTCTCTTGTGTGTGTGTGTATATATATATATATATATATATATATATATATATATATATATATATATATTGTGAGTAAAATTTGTAACTTAGCTGATTGATGTTACCTTCAGCATCCAGAGTTTTGTAGACGGACCTGTCCGTCCACTCTCCACTGGGTATTATTAGCAGTTTACTGCTTTTACTGCACACTATAGGGGATACTGGGTAGATAGGTCAAAGAGTTCTTGTTGAGTGGTCACAAAGTCATCAGACCTCACACACTTTTTTTTTTTTTTATTCTGTTGGGGACATTTTGAAATCAGTTATCAGATGCAGCTAAGAAATATTGAGGAACATCAAGAACAAATTAAATATGAATGCAATAAAATGGCTGGAAACTCTTGAACATGAATCCTGCAGGCACAAAATTGAAAAAAAAAGAAGACATTTTGAACAGATCATATAGCAATTAAATAACTGGTAAATAAAATTTTCATGTGTAATTATACTTTTAATAAATTATCTCAATGGTGCATGACTTTTGCCTCACCCTCTGTGTGTGTGAAGCTGTTATATAAATGAAATATTTTCATCCAGATGTGTATAAACAAAAAAAATAAGTTGCCTAAATGATTTTATCTCTTTACCAGGCCCCCTCTATCAGCAGCAAGGGCCCAGGGGAAGAAATGGAGGAGGAGAATATGGATAACAATAGAATGATGTTCGACTGGGACCAGGGTTTTAATCAAGGTTACACTCAGGAACAAGTTGATGGTAAGTTCTCTCTTAAATGAAATTATATTTAAAGTTACAATGGTGCAATTGGGCCATCAATCCCGACATTAATTTTGCTGATCACAAAGTTAGCAGAAAAATTTTCTTGCATAAAACTACTTATTGCATACTGTTTTTAATCTATTATTGGAAGATGGTTGTACATATTTAAGTTGGATCTACACTCAGTAGGTTTATCAGTCTGGGATTAAAGTTTAAAAACTAATTTAAATCTTTACAAGTGCTGCATGAGTTAATTCAGAGAAATTACTGTCTACAATTTACTTGTGGTATTATATGGACCGTCTAACAAAATTGGTCTGTCAGTAAATGAGTTTTTAATGTCAACTATACACTATGCATTGTTACACATTGATTTTGACATGTTTCTTAATATGTAATTTTTTTTTTTTTTTTTTTTTTTTAACATTTTTAAAATAATTATCCCATCATTACAATTATATAACAGCTGAGAAAATTTTTCATTGCATCATTTTTTGATTTGTCACATTTTCCCTTTTGCTGTCCAATTTTATAAGATTTTTCTAGAATTACTTTGAAAGTTTCAATGTCTGTATTACAAATGGCAAAAAAAAAAAAAACAGCTAAATGGGGGGGTTAATTTTAAATTTTCACCCCCCCCTTTTTTTTTTTTTTTTTTTTTTTTTTTTGTTCATACACATGTAGTCGCATCAACATAACAAATTTAGTCTGAAGTCCTGTAGTGCAAAATGCATCACAAGAAAACTTTTTCCACTTTGTGCATATATTTTTCTGCAATATATTTAATACTGTTCTTAGCAATTGTTTCTCCCGCTAAATCCTTACAATATTTTTCAGCTAATTTTCATCATGAAAAATTGAAATAATAAAATGATTTACCACGGCTTGAGCAGCTCATCTTTTTGTCGTTGTTGCCATAGAAATATTTAATAAGGAGAGGCAAAATCATTCTGCTGATCCATCTTTTCAGTTTATCAAGAAGTAATACTATTGTTTTTAAAATTCTTTAAAGCTTTACATTTTATTTTTTTTTTTACTATTATTAATTCTGAAGAGAGACCATTAATGTAATGTGCAAAGCTTCATGTAAAGAATTTTTTAAAACAATTCTCATAGAATTTATTGAGAGCAAATTCTATCGAAACCTGTTTTATCTCTATTAAATATCATAATGTTTCCATTTTTGCCAACAGCCTCCAAAGTAACTTTGTCATTTCATTCCTGTTGCCATTCAACAGGCTGAACTCAGTAACCCCGTGCCCTGCATTGTAATTGTTAATTTACCCGACAATCGTCTACATTTTTTGTAAATAGCACAGAATATTTATTTTCAAAGTTTGTCCCAGAATATTTGGATATATATATTCAGCATATACATAAGTACCTAGCCTTCCTTAATTGCCATCACTGGCCAGACACAATGTCTAATTTGATCATTTGTGTATTAACTGCTAATGTAATTAGTATAACCTTTACTTATTCAAAAGGCATGACTCTCCCCCCCTCCTCCAACCTTTTAAAAAAAGCGGGAACACCCAAAGTATTTCTTATTTATTTTTTTCTCCTTGCAACAACTAAATTATCACATCACATCACAACATTTTAATATTTTAAAAGCTTACTTGTGTGTTTCTCATTAATCACAGATTTTTGTTTTTAAAAAAACCTCGTATATGTATGTATGCATATATATTATACTTTTTTTCTTTTTAACCTACACCCCCAAACAGGTGGTTTTTCTGATGCCGAAATGAATCAACAACTGAATCAGACCAGATCGCAAAGAGTGCGAGCTGCGATGTTCCCAGAGACACTGGAGGAAGGGATCCAAATCCCTTCTACTCAGATCCATCCCGATCAGCCGACAGCTGTACAACGGTTAGCAGAACCTTCACAGATGTTGAAACATGCTGTAGCAAATCTTATCAACTATCAGGTAAGGCACTTTTCTATAGACTTGCTTTTTTTTTTTTTTTTTTTCTTTTTTCTTTTTTCTTTCTGCTCCTTCCTCTCATACTATCATGACTACAGTGTTGTAGTAGCAATAAAAAATCATTATCCCACTTAATTTGTACTTTCGCCTCTTCACCCTGAGGATTTCTATCAAATTAGTGTTACAAAATAATCAATGTAAATCACGGCAAAGAATCTGATTAACACTTAATTTATGTAAGTGATTATTTTGCTTGCTACAAATGATCAGCTTACTGTTATTGACAAAAAGAAAAACATTTGCATAAATGTCCAATCTGCAAGTTAGACACAACAAAAGGACAATTTAAGTACCCCCAAAAATTAATGTCATGCAGCATGACTTTGGTCACCATCAAAATGCAATTTGCAAAAAAAAGAAGGAAAAATTCCCTTTTACTTCAATAATGCCTCTCCCTCTTTTTTTTTTTTTTTTTTTTTTTTGTGTGTGTGTGTTTTTGTTTTTCTCTCTCTCTCTATCTCCCCCCCCCCTCAGTTGTAGGCTACCTGGGTCACTGAAAAGTAAAAAATCTGGTTCAAAATGGATCACTCTTGCTAATTACTCTAGTTTGAGTTGTTCCTCTTGTATATGGGAGATAAGTTCTTCATAAGTGTTGTAGCTGATTTGAATCATATGTGCACCACATGTACTACAGCTGTAGCAGTAGTGGGTGTGTCTAAGGCAAGATAACCTGATGGCATCCATTCCACTTCAGGCTAGATATGATATACAAATCAAATTACCAATCATAATGGGTAATTGAATGACAAAATAATGGGGTTGGGGGACCCATTTCCTCTCTAGGGAGATTTTTTTTCCAATATGTTCATTTTTATTTTTTGTATTAAGCTATCTTCCATTTGTATAAGTCTCCTTAATTGTCACTTTTTAATCAGATTAACATTCACCCCTCCAAATCCTTTCTATTTTAGTTTTCTAATTGTAGGTGATTGGTAAAAAAGGAAAATAATCTATTGATGGCATGTTTACATAGATTTTATTTGTTACATCACTTGTATAATGTTTACACTCTTTAACTCTGATCTTATATATTTCAGCACCTACTCTCTCATTCTCTCTTTTTATGCAAGTTTTCAAATACCTGTCTGGTACTTTGTAAACACTTAGTCATTGTCTCTCTCCAAGATCATCAGTGTATATGCTGGTCCTAAAAAAAAGAAGAAAAAAAAAATTACCTTTTTTTTTTTTTTTTTTCTTTGTCCCTTGAATCAATGACTATTAACAGCCTCATTCTTTGGTGGCCGCTGAATGATAATTCATACCATTGTATGAGTGTCATGCTCTGGTTTTGAAAATTAAAATCCAAGGCAGCATTCCAGATTTGTTACAGGCCTACTGGTGATGGTTGAGACCCATGCAGACCATATATATATATATATATATATATATATATATATTTGGTTGGATAGATGTGAGTCGTTTAGTCATTCATCATACTAACGCAAACATCGATATATGCAGACACATATACATACTTGGTCGTCCGTCGGGACTCATACATATATAAACGTATGTGGGCAGTTTCGGCTATGACACATGTATGTATACAGGTGGTGTTATGTCTATACATACGCATTTGTATGTTGAAATTTAAACATTCGAAGTGTGGCAGAAATGTCTCGTCAATGTCTATGTTGCCATAGTATCAAGAGGAAGATATTTGCAAATTAGAATAAATTTTTAATCTCTGTGTCTCCCTGTTCAACAAAATTATGGATGTTAGCTCCAAACTTTAAATATCATTTAAGCATTTTTATCTCTCAACCTCCTTCCCCCTTGAAAAATAAAACACAGAAATAATGTAAGTGCAAAAATGAACTAATGCAGGATTGGCAAATTGTTGGAAGACTAATCGCTTAATGACAATACAAATTGAAACCTTACTGATGTTTAAATATCATCACCGCTGAAATTTGTAATAATAAAATCCTAGTTTGATTCTTTCCACTCTGTGTGTCTGTAAGATTTGGTTTTCTCAGCTTGACACTTCCAGTCATAAAAGATTATCAAAAAAGTACTTGACGCTTCTAATAACGGAACCTTACCTCTCGGCCACTGTCCCCCCCTCCTCTCTTCTATGATTCTTTCTCTTGTTGTTAAGTCACCACTTGAAAGCATTGTCCTCCTCCTCTTGATGTAAATTGTCTTCAATCTTTGTAGAATGATGCTGACCTTGCTACTTTTGCTGTTCCTGAGCTGATTAAGTTGTTGAACGATGAAGATCAGGTTGTTGTGGCCCGAGCTGCGGTCATTGTCCACCACTTGACTCGAAATGATGCCAGTCGACATGTCATCCTCAACTCCCCACAGATGGTTGCCGCCCTTGTGCGAGCCATGAACAACACAAATGACTTTGAGACCACACGTTACGGAGCTGCTGTACTGCACAGTCTCTCACAGCACCGACAAGGACTTCTAGCAATATTTAAATCTGGCGGAATTCCTGCTCTTGTCAAACTGCTCAGGTAAATAAAAAAAATAAATGAGGATGGGGGGGGGTATGAAATGGCTAGGCCAATAATTATATACATTTATTTTTTTTATTTTTTTATCTTTTATTTTTCCTTTTTATCATTTCCTTTTTCTACAAACTTCCACAAATTATCAGCAAACATACAGATTTATCAGAGACTTTTTTTATAATGGTAATATCTTGGCAAATTTTTTTTTTTTTTTTTTTTTTTTTTTTTTAACTTGCATAGAGACTTCTTTTCTCAGGGTTTTCTTCTTTTTATCACTGATTTAAAATAAACATTAAATTGAAAAATATGCAAATTTGCTTATCTTATATGACAAAGCAGTCATCTTGGAGAGACGAATTCAAATTCCAGTTGGATTTATTAGATTCACTTGTGCAAAAACCCTTAAGAAAAGGATGAATCAATCTTCCCCTAGCTATGGCTTAAATAGTAGGATTTGTATTTGGGGAAAATTATTATTATTCTCAAAAATTTGTTAATGCAATCTTCCCTCAAAAAAAAAAAAAAAAAATGATCTATTCTTACAATCCAAAATGTTAAGCTACCCACAATGGTTTGATAAAGCCATAAGAAAAAAAAACAAAAAAAAAACAAATTGTCAACTTTTCTTTTTCTCATAGGGAATTTTAATAAAGTGAACAAATGATGGTCTTTTATTGTTTGCTAATAAAAATCTTTGTTTTTCTTAAAAGCCTATTTGCTTTGCAATATGTGTTTTGGTTTCTTTTTAAAATATGTAAAATAATCTAAATCTGTTGCCTTTATTCAGCTAAAATGTAAAAATATGTTTTGTACTACATTTTCTTTCCAGCTCTCCAGTTGAGACTGTTCTGTTTTATGCAATCACCACATTGCACAACTTACTGCTTCATCAGGAAGGCTCCAAGATGGCTGTGCGCCTAGCAGGGGGCTTACAAAAAATGGTGGCACTGCTTCAAAGGAATAATGTCAAATTTCTTGCTATTACCACAGACTGCTTGCAGATTCTTGCTTATGGGAATCAAGAGAGCAAAGTAAGTGTTTTTTTTTTTTTTTTTTTTTTTAATTTCAAGTATTTTTGACTAATTACATAAATGATCCCCCTCTACCCTGCAAGGGAATTAGTAAAAGAATTTATTCTTCAATATTGCTATTGTAAGCTTTCTGGTAATGTTTCTAAGCATAGCAAATTTTGAAGGCTTATGGCCACATCATGTTGACGTTAAGCAATGTTGAGCCTAGTCAGTAACTAGATGAGTGACAATATTACTAAATCATTATCTCAAAGAAATTCTTACAATCTAAGAATACTTTCTGGCTTTAAATAACTTACAAAGAGTTGATAAGCCATAGAAAATAAATCAATCACTCTTGAGCCACTTTAATGTTAAGACAATTTTATATTGTCTCTGAAACGGTTCATCCTTTTGACAGTTTATAATTAATTCATTGTTTATGAAATTTAATAAGTTTTTTTGTGTATTTCCTTTGTTAAATCAGTTTCTTTTAGGAAACTGAATTGTCACAGTTGTGCTGATAAATTAGGTTGGAGGAAGAATTCACATGTAAAGTTAATATTTTGGTTGTGGCTAGTGAAGTCATCTTTATTTGTATTAAAGATTTTTGATGGGGGCATGTTGCTGGTCTTCCCTGCCACTAATTATTTTTACTTTGATTGTGGAATGGCATGTCACAATGTTACAAGTCACAGAAAGATTTATATCATGAGAAACATGTATATAAATAAAAAGAAAGAACAGTAAGATATATAATCCGCTGTTCTTATAGATATTTTTATTTTTACAAAATAGTGCTCAATGTAAATTTACAGAGCATTAATATTATAAATTAATTGATTTAAAATATGTTTTTTCCGCTACAGTTCTAACCATGTTTCAAAAAATAGAAGCTAAAGCCCTAATTTAATTTTGCAATTAAATTAAAAGCATTAGTTCCATTTCATCCTCAAGCGTAATTTTGGAGTAACTTTTAAAAATTACTGGGTTTTTAAAGACACAGCTAAAATCACATTTCCATGGTTACAGAATATTCTACTTCAATTGGACAAGGGATGTCTAGGTTTTCCTTATGTCAGTATCATTGTATCAGTTATTAGCTACAATTTGGTAAGGGGTAGGGATGTATTTTTCAATGAAAGCTAACATCCGTTGAATGCATGTCATCTGGATTTTTTTTTTTTAAATTGTTAACGGTAAAAAAATTCTTACGGCATTTTCTTTCTTTTTTTCTCTACCCCCTCCCCCCAACCCCATTTATAAGTTTAAAGATTTTCGGGGGTGTTCAGATCATAATACTTTTTACTTCTCCATTGGGGTGAAGGGGATAGGGATGCTTATTACGGCTGTGTGTGAATGAGTGAGATAGATGTATATAATCACTCACACAGTGTCCCTGAAATATACTCACTTTTTGACTTATAATTTTTTAGCTTTCCAGGTCTATGCATTTAATTTCATTTAATATTTAATTTTAACCATTAATCTTGTTTGCAAATCAATAAACACGGCATTTATTGTCATTTAAAGAGTGGGTACACCCTGTGTATATGGTTGGTGAGGTATATATGCATTTGTATGCACAGATACCTACACACACACACACACACATGCACACCTTTGCCTGCCAACTATTGCCTTGTGGTAGGATGCCCCCCTATATAAGTTATTTTTGCAAAGGAGCTTTATATCAAAACAGATGCCATTTTTCTTGTCCATTGTTAACTTGATTTCTCTTGCACACGTTCCCTGACTCTTTGACACTCTTTATTTTATTATTAGGGTGTTATTAAAGAAATCAATTACCACTTTTTCTCTTGCAGCTCATCATACTTGCTAGTGGTGGTCCTGTTGAACTGGTTCGAATCATGAGAACATACAGCTATGAAAAACTCTTATGGACTACCTCCAGAGTGTTGAAAGTTTTGTCTGTCTGCTCCAGCAACAAGCCAGGAATTGTGGAAGCTGGTATGTTGTGGTTTGCTTGGGTCACAGCTTATGATTCAATCGCATCATATCTTTATTTCTTTTCACTTTTTCATTTATCTGAATTTACAAAGTTGTGTGTCCCTTGTAGAAATTTCCTAACCATATTATTCTAACAAATGAATGAACCCTTTATCTAATATTAGTTTCACTGGTTTTTAGAGAACTTGTATGCAGAGTATGTAACTCTAAAATTTTTACCTTTTTTTTTTTTTTCTTTCAATAGTAGAAGATAGTTTCAGCTATCACCTGGTTCATGCTCCTCCCCGGTCTTTTAAACGGGAGTAGTTTATCCCTTATTTCCTGTTTAAGATTGGATTTCCAGTTCCTTCTAAAGTCTTCTCATTCTCTTTCATTCCCAGGAGCCCCTCTTGCATCTTAGGGGCATTACTGCCATGTACAGGGTGAATTTATTTATTTATTTATTTTTTAAATAATCTCTACTTTGTAATTGTGTGTACTCTTATAACCATTGGTGCTTTTTATTTCAGGTGGTATGTCAGCATTGGCTGAAAATTTGGCTCATGAAAGTCCGCGTGTCGTACATAACTGCCTGTGGACACTTAGAAATCTTTCTGATGCTGCCACACGTGTTGT